GGCGGGGTAGTGTCCCTTTCCAACCGAACCAAAGGGGGTTCGCCGTGTAAAGACAAACATTTGCCTGGAAGGATGATCTTCAGGAGGCCTCCCTGAAAGAGCATGGGGCTCAAGCGCCATCCCTAGGTTGCAATTGCAAGCCCGCAATGAGTCGCTGTTTGCAGGAGCGGATGGTTTCAGTTGCGCAGCAAGTGACCACTTGGAGTGGCTGGAGAGTTTGGATTGCCCCCGGGTTCCACAGCTGCCAGCCTTTGTTCCTTTGTGTTGGCGTGGGGTTCCAGTGAACGACCCGAAACTATGGGCGTCTTGTTTCCCCATGGGCTAGGCAAACAAGATGGCGCTTGGTTCGCTGGGCGGAGAGATTGATAGCGCATCCGACCGAGGACTGGGTCTTTGAAATGGACGAGGTGCAGGACGAGATGCCCAACGTGGACACGTGCTTGGTGGTAGGCACCAGACTCACCAGAGGGCCTGTGAGTCAGGTATTCACCTGTGCCGATTGAAATCGGGCCACTGCGTAAGTTCGATATTCGCACCGTCCGTGTACAAGGCACCCGCGTTATGAGGAGTTCCAAACCCACGACTCGCGCTGAGAATGCCGAACATGTGCCACTGGCTTTGTGTGGATACTCTTTAGGAGTCCTAAGAGTGCCGCGCAACGGACAGCCGTGTTAGATTTGTAAGGCTTTTTTGTTTAACCTGTCGGCATCTCCAGTCATGGAAGGTGAAAACTGACGAGCTCGAGGTGACAGCAAAGCGCTTTAACCCTGCGAGCTGAAACTGGAAGAATGATGCTGATGTTCTTCGTATTTCATGGTGGTTGCCGCTGGGAGTCCCCATGGTGACTTTGTCCGGCCTGTTGAGTCTGTTGCTTCTTACACCTCTTGTTTATCTTGTCATTTGTATCGACTGTTGATCTTGCTGCTTTTGCGATTGAGGCTGTTGCCGTTGTTTCTGTTGATGTTGCTGGTGCAGCTATTGGCTAATTAGTCTTGATGTTGTTGTTTCCCACCGGTGTCGCAGCTGGAGTTGATCTTCGTCTTGTCGTTTCAGGACGCATCGCAATCACGGACTTGCCCATCTGTGGGTCATGTACGTATTAAGGGGCTGGGCAATTTTACGCGGGCAGAGCTCGCCAGCCTCAGGTTGTTGGTTTCAGAGTTGTGGGATCAATTGGCTTGTCCCCACTTCTGTGATACAAGATCTCACCATTTTTATGGGGGTTCGTCTTTGGCAAGCCCTTTTGGTGTATCAAAGAAGTTTTCATTTCCCACAGCCCTGTTTGGTTTCGAAGTGCACAGGTGCCAACGACATTACCAACGAGGCATCTGAGGTGGATGAGGACCTATGGCACGGGTCTGGGAAGAACCTCAAGGGGCGAGAACGCGTGGTGACATAGTTTGATTCAGATCTTATTTCGGTGTGGCTCAAAATTAAAGACCTAGGGTTACGCAGATTTTAGTCTTTGGTTCCATTTGCCAAGGTGCCAATTTGGTACATTTATTTGAGCATTTGTGGAACACGGGAGCCAACCCGACGAGTCTCCTGGCCCGCAGAAAACCGAGATCCCTGCTAGGAAGTCCGGTCTGCCCAAGGGATTCGGATGATCCGGGGGAGGTGGGAGCGCGACAGGACTGCTCCATTTATGGCATGCCGGTGATCAAGGTGTGGGAGGCGCCGCCTGCGAAACCCTGCGAAGAACTCACAATGATAGCCTTCGGCCAATCCACGAGAACTTGCACCTGGTGATGTCAGAGGGTAACTTGTTGATGGCTGAAGTAGGAGAAAGCCATCCCTCTAACCGCTGGCTGGTCACCAGCATGTGGCCCTTCAACTCCTTCGGAGTAAGGCCAAACGCTGGTTTCGACATGCCTTCGATCCATGCACTCATCCTCGTTGAGCTTTCCTCTTGGGTCTGCGGGAGCGGCTAGTCCTAGTACCAAGTTTGCTATCAGCCACTATGGTTCAAGGAAAGCGGCGTCCTTTTGTCGCTTCCACAAACGGAGCCCTGCGCAGTGGAGGGATCACTCAGGTGCTGCTTGCTACATGATCAGCTCGATGGACCCAAGCTCACGACTTCAAACGATTGTACATGAATTTGTGCTTGCACCCACTGGCCCATTACCTCGGGCTGTTTCAGACAATTGAATGTTGTGCTAAGTATGTTCCAAAGGAGGGCGCAATAGAAATCCCTTTGAACAGATGCTTGCTTCAGGCTTGCTCGATGCAGCTGACTTGCCCCATACTCGTGGGCTGTTCAACCAGAACCATTGCCGTTCGTGTCGAGAACTACTGTATTGCAAATGGTTTCCGGTGTCTTTGCTTTTTCGGAAGACTTTCTTTGCTCACATTCTTGTGGTTTGCAACCCGAATCGTTGGGTCGGGGATTCGGGATTTGACCCATTGGCGTTTAAGAGAAATTCTTATCGACTCCAGTCAAGCATGTACGGCGGATTCCCGATAAATTCTAAGTTTCGCAAGTTGTTTTACCCATATAAAACAGCGCCCCTGGCCAGAAAATGCCGAGTCGCGGGTTTTTTTTGTCTCGCTCCCCTGGCAAGATTTTGGGACATCCGCACGGGGAGACCTGGCTCGGAAGGCCAGGTTGGTTTGCCTCGGGTTCTTTCGGGACCGCTGTCCTGAGAGGCTTAGAGACCGCCAGAAACCGAGGCAAAGGGGGGCAACACGGATTCAAGGAACTTGGTTCAACTTGGTGGGAAACATGGCAATTCGACTGGCCTGGATCGACCGGGTTGTCCGAATCCATCTTTCATCACGGCTCTTTTGCCGATTTGCGGGATGGTGGTAGCGGTTTTCCTTGTTGCTTTTGTGGCGACAGTCCCAAAATGCAAAGCCCGCTGAAAGGGTTTCAGTACCCAGAGACTCCGCTCTCACGCAGGCCAAGAACTGCGTCTACCTCAAGCGCTCCATGGCTGGAGGCTTCCCAAGTGGGAATGGTTGGTCAAACGAGGGTTTTTTTCTTTTATTATTATTATTATTATTTATGTTTTTGATATTTCCTGCGAACAGCAAACATCCGACATGGGCTGAAGCTATTCTTGTGGGCTACCCTAAAGGCAATCCTTTATACCTTCTTCTGCCAAATAAGTTCGTCCCTGTTTCTAATTTCCCAATGTCCCAACGAAGATAGCAGATCAGAGTTGAGCCGCACGTGCCGAGTTGTTTTTTTTACCCACTCTTCTTCCGAGGCTTGGATTGGTGGTGAGGGGATGTGAACCCCTGCTTCTTGGGAAGGGTAAACCCTAACCACCAAACCACCAAGACATTCCTGTTTGGGGAGGAGGACCATCCTTGGCCTAGCTTCGACAAGTTTTCGACTGGAAAATGGTGGAGGACTCGCCTTTCTCCACGAATGGCACCTGGAACGAGCTGGCAGCTAAACGCGCTCATCCATGATGATGGTCCGGAACGACAGGATGTCATCAGAGCTTAACTTCAACAATCAAACTGGACCACGATTCTGAGAATTGGCGAACCCGAGAGTTCCTGCAGTGTTTTGTGGCTGGATCGATATGATGAAGAAAAAAAACACGCACCTTACTCATTCAAACTTATTGATATATGCGAACCTGTCCAATCGCCGGCTGCCTGGTTATCTATGTCTCTAGAGCCTAAGCAAAAGTATGCGGGTTTGGCAAGACGGCGGCACAGAGAAAAATGTTGGCCTGATAGCAAGAGGTTTGAAAATAAAAGGATCCTCGTCACGCAATCTAGCAAGAATGGTTTGGTTTTGGCCGAACGAACAAGTTGCCACAATCTTTCGTTGCATAGATGTTAGATCGGTTGGCGGTGTCTAAACGGTGATTTTGCTGGTGCCATGGAGGTTCCGCAGCTGAAGGAGCGGTATACTGAGATATGATATGGCTGTGGGTCAACACCAATGGTACCATTTTGGGGTAGGTGCACCACGTTTTTTATTCTATTTTAGTGGGGATTAGGATGTTCACTGGGGGGTAACCGGGCTTTGGACCCATGGCCATATTGTTGAAGGATTTAGAGCAAGGCGCTAAGATATCCGGCAGATGGAGAACTGTATCCAGAGTGCAGCTTCTGCCATACATCCATGATCTTGGTCTCTTGCCTGTGTCTGATTCAGTGTGTAATTTCTTTATTTTGTGCGTTCTGTTTTTGTTGCATCTTTGGTTTGTTTGTTGAGGCTTTGTTTGCCTTGCTTGCGCTGTTTGCTTCGTTTGTACTTGGTTTGACCTTTTTTGTGTGCCGGGTTTGTGTGTGTGTGGTTGACTCTTCTTTGTTTTTTTTGTTTTTTTTTTGTTTTGTTTTTGTTTGTTTTTTGTCTGTGTTTGTTTGTTGTTTGTTTTTTGTCTGTGTTTTGTTTGTGTTTTCCTTTGTTTGTTTGTTTGTTTGTTTGTTTGTTTGTGCTTCTGTCTGTCCTGCCCGTTCTGTCCTGTCCTCTCTGTCGGGTTGTTTGTTTGGTGTGTGCTAGCTGATGATTTGCCGCTTAACCGTGCATCATGGCGTGCCAGTTGGCTATCTGCCGATATCTAGCGCATCAGGGTTTTCATGTTGGGAGCCTGTGGGTGAACTCCTGATGCGGCAGTTGGTTCTCCTTTGTTTGGGCTTCCTTTCAAAAATCAAGCGAAAGGCGCAGGCACGGGGCCGTTGTTCCCCTCGAAAGCGTTACAGTCATTTGTGGGTGACCGCGATACGCCTATAGTGTTTGCCTCAGTCCCACGAAATTCTGGCAGCTGACCAGCTGGAGTCGGTACCGTTGGTTGTTGGATTGGTTTGATTGGTGTGATGCGTAGGGTCCGGAGGTGTTCATGGGTTCGTGACAGGGATGCCCTTTTGCTAACCTTAAAAGACCCTTTGCCACTCTGTTGCCCAGTGGCGCCCTTTTTTCCTTTTTTTCGGGGAAGGGTTCCGGTTGAAACTCAACCAACCAAAATTGGATGACGATTATTTTTTGTCCATGGAAATCCACTGGGCATCTGGACCCTTCGCGGTAAATGTTCCCTTGGAACACACCCCGCGCGTCGCCAGGCTACGCGGACATCGAGAACCCCGTGTTCTTCCGGGAGACCACCCAGATGCTGCTAGGCAGGGGTCCCACAAACTTCGGGTGATGTGCCACTCCCATTTGGGTATGGGTCAAAATTAAACCACCAGGGGACCGCAGGTTTTTCTCCATGTTTCCATTTACCAGGATTCCATTTTGGGTACATATTTTTGTCCCACTCCCAGTTCGTGCCTGTCTTCGTGTTTGAGGGCGTCCCTTTCCGAAACTGACCAACCAAGAGCTGCATTTGTTTGATTGCTTTGGTTTTTTTCTGTGATAACCAGCACCAACCTCGTGCTCGTCGGTTTGGCTTGGCCGGAGCGATGTTGGATGCTCAGTCCAAGGGCAACGTCTGGTTTTGAAAGGTTTTGGAAAATCTGTGACAGGAGCCGTTAGCCACAAGCCCAGCACATTCCCGGATGAGTGTTGCTTGAAGGTATTTGCCAAATATCCAGATCCAAACAGATGCAACAGTAAAGGAAACCGAAAATCGGCTGCGAATTGGCCCAGGCAGATTTGTCAATTTTGAGCATCCCTTTGGGCTGGTTTGCAGACTTGAACCATGAAGCCACAAATCTGGGACACTACCCCCAAGCTCCAAACCGTCACCCCCAAACCAGAAAGCTCCGAAGGCACAGGCTTCCATTTTGTTGACCCCCGAGGTAGGCTTAAACTCGGGGGTTTCCCTTTTGGGGAACTCCACCACCCCTGGGTTTAAGTCCTCCATGTGCAAAAAAGTCTCTAGGCGACGGCAAGACCAGCTGCGAGGGCATCGCGGCAGCCCTGAAGAGCAAGGGCTGAATCAGCTAGGCTGCGGGGCAGAGTCGAGGGCTCAGCCCTTACCCGTGGACCAAAATGGGAATGGGCGCCAAAGGGAAACCAAGAAATTGTCAGTCTAAAACCGGGGAAAAGCAAGCGGAAAGAAAAAAAGGCGACTGCGCCTGTAGGAGGCCGCGCGCTTTTGTCGTTGTTGCAAAGCAACACGAAGGCTTCATGTATTAAACCACTGTATTTTACCATAGCACAACATCAACCCTCCGCGTTGACAGGCTGCAAAACCACTGCAAGGCGCGCTTTGTCGTAGGCAAACCGGCATCCACGCTTGGGTTTTGAACACCAAACGCACCAATGCTCAGCAGCGAAACTTTTTCCGCGTGGAACGGCAAAGCGTACCCAGCTTGCCGAACAAGCTGTCTTGGTGGCATCTACGATGCATGCATACAAAAACTGCCAGATCAGATCTTCTCTGCGGCCTTTCCGGCGGGTCATATGACTTGGCACGGTCCAACTGCTGCGTTCCACCAGAGCGCTTGCCTGTGCGCTTCAGGACAAATGTGGCCGCCGCTTTCTTCCAAACTCGTTGGCCATTCCACGTGTTCTCTTAAGCCCAAGAGCCGCTTGAGCGTCAAAGCTGCTGCTGCTGCGTAAGTGGACAGGCAGACCACATTGTTCACACACTGCGTTCACATTGACATGGATTTCAAAAGTGGTAGGAGGTAGGACGTGCGTCCCAACCAAGCCAGCCACGCTCCACATTCAGTACAAACCGCGTCGCAAATGTGAGGATGCAGTCTTGTTGGCATGAGCTGAGGCGGAGAATGTCTGATGGTGATCTGCCATAGCACGATCAGTTCGCTAGCTGGACATGGCTGGTTCGCTACCCAGAGAAGGACAACATAAGACAAGGCCAGCGCACAAGCAAAGACTTCATCCATGTGCACTCGTAACAACACAAAGCGTCAGACACGTCAAGATCATCCCCCCCCACCCCCCCACCCCAACCCCGCTGCACAGTGACATGCTGAAAGTGTCAGCAGTTCCGGCCTCCTAAAGGCGCTCACACCAGAAACAAGCAGAAGGGCTGTGGTTTTAAGTTTTCAGACCCTAGTTGAACGGAAGGGCCATTTTGTTGCTTCTTCCTCGTTCCAGTTGGAGCAGTTCTTTGCCTGCTTGGACCCCTGGTACCCCCCTGATGCGTGAGAAGACAGTCCTGTTCTTCCCCATCGCGTGCCAGGAGGGACCGTGGCTCCCTGTGAAACGACCGAGAAGTTGCGTTATAAAGGGTTGCACATGTACGCCCTTGGTGCATGCAAAGACATGAACACCTGGCCGCTCGCTGACAGCGCATTTGAGATCTGAACACTTTGAGTGTGTCATCGATCGAAGGCAGGCGTCATGCTACTCCGTGCACTCCGTAGGCGAGAGGAAGACCAGGGAAAGCGCAGAACGGGTCAGTGCCAATGGTTGCAGAGACTAAGTCACGCAAAGCGCGCTGCGTCCTGGTCAGCCTCTCCTAATAGCTGGTTTTCCCCCATTTTTTGTGCCACCGCAATTTGACCGGTGAGGTTTTTACTCATGCAATCCAAGACACCGACTTGCAAGAAGGGGTTGGAATGCTGGCCTTCAAATCTGGTAAATCCGATTGCGACTCCACGGAGCTGCGACCATGCAGCCGGTTTTTTGCCAGATGTTGTTACCCAGAAGTCCGTAGCTTCGGCTTATGTGTTTTACAAACCCTCTCTAGGAACCACTTTTGGGATCAACCCTGAATCATGTTTAGTTTAATTGGATGGCCATTGCGCAACTCACGTCTTCTTGCAAGCCGTTGCTTGGACAGAGCGCCGGCGACAAAGCGTTGAAAGAGCTTCGGATGCAGGCAGCGTTGGTTCGCTTATTGCAAAGTTTCTGTGTTTCTGCCAGGACTTGACAGCCACAGGATCTACCAAAGTTGCTGGAGTGAGGTTTCAGTTTTCCCATGCAGCTGGAGCCACTAGGATAGACAGGCAGGAGGAGTAAAACAGCTTCACGCGCGGAGCATTCGGGAAGGTGCGCTTGATACGCCAGCAGGCTCGCTTTTGCACATAGAATTATGTTTGATTTTCCTGTGTTCAATGGCTTGACTGGATGGCTTGACTGCTCATGTTGCTTTATTACACATGCCATAAGCGATGTTTGCTGTTCAACGCAGACTGGATGGCTTGACTGCATGTTTGCTTGCTTATGTTTCTATTCTCCTAACACTTTGTTGCTGTGCCTTGGTCAATGGGGATGGCCGCCAGGTGGCAACCTTGTGCATATTGCATAAAGTCCCATCATGATTGCTTGCATGCTCAGCGTCGTCAGCCGATGCAGGATAAGTCTTACAGCGAGCTGTAATTGAGCTGTAGTCCTTAAACACAAGTGCCCTTTGACGCTTGCTTCGCAAAGACCCAAGGCCAGGTCAAGCAAAGGCCAAGCAATGAGTGAGTCTTCATACCACGAGCTTCAGGGTGTAGGACACCTGTCAAGGCACCTGTGAGCTTTTTGTATGGCGACTTTTGAGCCGAAACCGGAGTGTCTAATGGGCTCTTGGGCAGTTGGGCAGTTGGCCAATGGGCTGGCGCCGATGAGGTTCCGAAATGAGAACCCTCACCTTGTTGGATGGGTTTATGGGGAAGCCAAAAGGAAGTCGTTGAGCCATAAAATAAATATAAAAATATCAACTAGCACAGCAGGGCCTTTGGTCACGGGCACCAGAAGGATGGTCCAACCCAAAGGGAGTTTGCAAGTCATCCCAAGATCCGGCCGCAAGCTTTGGACGTTGAGTCATTGAGGCTTGGGACCCCAAGTGTGAGGGCTTGTTCAATCGGATAGGAAGGACATGCCTATGCCCTTGCATGGCTGGCATGGCTGTCCATTGGCTCAGCACATTTGGAAGCAGGCCATCCTCGGAATTTTGCCTTGACAGGGGGATACAAATGGTATGGCCCAACAATTCCACTTGTTACTTTTCTATTATTGTTTCGACCAGCTAGTGCTCCGCAGTCAAGTCGCATTGGGAGTTCGCCTCTTCACATCAGGGAAATCAGCTGGAAGGGGGAAAAAGGGGGGGTGGTTTGGATAATCATGAAGTCTCAGGCCAAGCGGAAAGCCCCCTTCGGCTGCATGGAATGATCAACCCAGTGCAGGTCAGCTCACGTAGGGGGCGTCCGGGGGTCCCTTGTTGGTTTCGGAACGCAACAAAATGCACCTGGAAAAACCTCCCCATCCCTCGTGCCCAGGCCTCTCGCCAGGCGCCGGATTCGAATCCGCTTGATCTTTTCCAAGCTTCTGGTTCCCATGCAGCTCCAAGCAATAGAACATATGCCCATGGTGGGTAGGCAACTGTATGGTGATAGCCTTGGGTTGAACATCAAAGTTTCTCTTTCCCCAGTTTCCAAGAAAGGAGTGTCGTGAGTTGTGACTGGTCGCGCGTGCGCGTGAGATGTGTAATGACTCAGCCAGGCACCCTGTTGAAGACTCGACGATCTTACCATCTCTTGAGGGGAGCTGGTGTAGCTTTGGGTCCTTGCTTCGAACCTGGCCCAAAGCTTGCTTGCCCCCTTTTCCACCATCATGGGAGTGGGCGGAAAAAACAAAAAACGATTATTGAAAACTGCTATCATCTTTAAAACGGCCTCCTTTTCACTTTCATGATTGTTTAACGCTTTGATTTATTCCAGACCTCCTTTCTGACTCTCTGGTGACACCTCAAAACAGGGTAGGTTGAATGTCCATTGCAAAGGCCAAGACAGGTGCGGTGAGGTTCCAGACCTGGCAATTCCTGAGCCTTCAAATTCCTTTGGTGTTTTCGGGACCCAACTAAAAATGGTACTCCCAAAGAGGGTGCCCGTTCCGCAGCCGGATGCTTTGCGGTCGCTTTGGGTCAGTGGCTGAGAGCCTTTGTTGCGCAGGGGACGACTGCACCTCGCGCAACTTATCTCTTGCAGCCTGTTTGATTGACTGGACATCAGAAAGACCCGATCAGGGGAGCGGAGCCTGTTTAGTGGAGATTGAGTTTGCACGTTTGCATCCAGCGCAAGCTTTCTGATTGGTCAGCGAGCTCTGTGATGATGGTCCTTTTTGGGGGTGTGTCTTAGTTTTGAGGTTGGTGGATTGCAGTAAAACAGTATCGGCTTGGCCTCCTTTCGCGAGCTCTCAGTGCGTCCAGCGCAACCTCCAGATGGGTCAGGTGTCCCGATGTGGAAGCCGCAGCCGCCTGCGAGGCGGGAAGCCACTGGCAAGTTGGCGCTGGGTCAAAAGCTATTGGCCATCTTTTAAGACTTTCGTCTTTGAGCCAAACCCCAGACACTCCGGGAAACAACATGCCTGGAAAGGGGTGCGGGTGCGGGTGCGCCCTTTTAGTCTTTAGAGACTCCTTAAGCCAGGTGTTCACCATGCTTCTCTCCAGTAATTAAGGTAGGGTTGTTCAACACGAGCCTCTTTGGATCTTTTGGGACTATGGGCTGCCTCCAGAGGCGATTCAACAGGATCACCAAAGTTGCAGTTTGATACGACTTTTTACGTCTCCGAACAAGCAAGGACCCCCAGTGAGCAGACGGACTGGAAGGCTGCAACTGCTTCCATGTGCTTAAGAATATGTTTTTTTCTCCTGTTGGTTCTAAAGGGAATCTATCACAGGCTGCACCATCTACTTTCGCCCGACAGGGAGTTCTTGCGATGCCTCAGGCGTCCAGAGGAGTCGCGCTTTGCCGGGTGCCACAGGTGTCTGGGAGAGTTCAGGTTGCTTTGCTTTGGGGGCAGAATTGAATTGAGCAAAACCAATGCGGGTAGATGAAGGTTAGCAAGGGACAATCCCAAGCTTAAATGGGTGCAGCCGCCTTTGTGTTCATTCTTTACATGGTTTTGGGCAGACCATCTTAATACCAGGTTTCGATTTTGACTCAAATGAAAATCGCAACCTCGCAGAGGGAGTTGCATTGCGAACGCGCCCATTGTGCATGACAATAATTTGCTTTGATCACCCCGGCCCAGGACCCCTTGCACTTGAAAAATGTCTTAAATGTATATGTGCCATTGGAGTACAGCGTGTTTCCGGGAGTCATAGTAGCTTGTGAGTACTGTTTTTGTAATATGTGGTCAACTAAGGTTCTTGGATGTGTTGGCTCACCAACATCCTCGGGTTGCTTGCAGTTTCAGTTTCTTGCAATCGGAGATGTCAAAGGGTCAGAGCTCAATAGTTCGAAGTGCTGCTGTTTCAGACGCAGAGTCACAGCATTTCGTGGGTATGTGCCCGGGCGACCGCGATTTCCACCAAGTGTCCGTTTGGGTCCTCGAGTTGGGGCTTCCTCTAGTGATTGTCCTGAGTGGATGGGCGGATTTCTCAAAAGTGATACTGTGGATGGACGAAATCCTGCACCACATTAGAAGCCTGGAATGACGATTCCCCTGCAAATGCCAACAAACAATGGCTATTCATAGTTTCAAACTGGTGCAGGATTTCGACAGTATTATTCACCATGTCACAATAGAGCCAACAACAACAACTTCAAGCTACCGCCGATAGCGGGTAACTGACGGAACACATCTCCGGCTACATCTAGGGACCAAATCTCCGGCCCCAACCTAGCTTCCTGTTTAGGAGGGTTCTGTTGAAAGTGCCAAAACAGGGGGCCATGTTACCATGGCCACTGGAGTTTAGGCCGGTAGAATCGCTGATACTCTAGAGCGGCTTCGATAAAAGTTTCTTCTTCGGTGCGAAGATCCACATCAACTATTTTGCGGAACCTATACAATCCATCCTAAGTGAAAAGGGTAGCCTTACCCTTTGCATCCCTGGCCGAGTGCAACCACGAAATCTCCAGTTCTGACATCCCCAGCCAGGCTATCGGACCCAGATGGTTTGCGCTTGCTTTATGGTGGCCGGTTGAGAGGTTTAATTCCTCATTGCTGCGCGAATTTTGGGAAGCTAAGCCAAGCATGAGTGATATAGTCAAATCCCGAACCAACCACAGGCTGGATTTCATTCCATTGCAACATTCATGGCTCATGGCGTTGATCGACCTTTTCCACCTCTTTCAGGCTGAGCAAGTGGCAGGCCTCTCAACTTTCACGCGGGGAAGGAGCCCCCTGCCGCAAGTTGGGAACAAGTTGAACACCTGGTAGTTTACCAGGGTTCGTGGTCTGTGCCTTTTGTTTTGCATCTAAAAAATGAGCCTCTCACTCTTGGAAGGACCTTAGAGTTCCAGTTAGTCAATTTACCTTGGTTTGTGGTTGGTTTGTGGTTTTTGGGGACATGAACTGAACCACTCAGCCTCTGAGGCAGCTCATGACAGAAAGACCAGAGGCCGGAGGGCTTGGGCAACCTTCCGCGTCATGGGCCGTGGCAGTGGGAGTTGGTTTTGCTCAGGATTTAAATGGCTGTGGGTCAAAACCAATGGGATCCCATTTTTGGGTAGGTGCACCAC